AAAAAAAACCCTTCTGAATTAACCTACTTACCTCGAGCCGCAAATCTCAGAGCGGCTAACAAAACATGCAGCGCCCTATCAGGCGCAGCCTTGGCCAAACTGGCCAGGGCACCGAGAGAGACCTCCGGGGGGTAGCCCCGGAGGTTGGCTTCACAGATGGCGAAACCCACTGCCCCCAGTACCAGCTGTTTACTAGTAGTGTGGTCACAGAGTCTTCTCACCGTCATCATCAGTACTGCCTTCTTCACTGCCTTCACTGAGTAAGAATTGTAATCCTGCATTGTCTGGAACACCAGCTCGTTGCCGGCCTGCAGTGCGTCCGTGTTTTTAGTGCACGGTACATAGTGCAACTGCAACGGAGACCCGCAGATAAACATCGATCCCCCAACGAATTGCCAGGTCAATCCGCATTCATCCTTGCGGATCACCTCAAGATTGTTATCATAAATCTCTTCGAATGCCGTGAAGAAGCTCCCGGGAAAAAGCTTGTTTGTGGTACCGCCATCTACACCAGCTATCACAGTGATGTCATCCATGATGCGCCAGCCACTCACCAATCTTCTCTCTGATCCCAGTCGTTTCAAAAATTTCATCTCAGCCATAGCGCAGGTCACCGAAGCCAGGATCGGGCTCGTGGATTTCCCCATAGGAATTCCACAAATCTGCCTCAATATCTTCCCTCCGCATTTCACAAAAGAGTGCTCGAGATCATCCTCAACACCCCTCAAAATCTGCTTCAGCGTGATACTAACATACCCGTCTGTCTTCCGCCTGTTCTTACTGATGACCACCAATTTCCCCCGCATAGACACCTGAATCTGGACGCACCCATCATCTTTGTACTTACGCAGCAGCTATCGAACCGCCTGAGTGACAGCTTCATGCGGGATGCGGGAGAACATCTCCTTAATATCGTAGCACCTCCCCTCCGCCTGTGAGCAGCCAGCCGCCCGCAATTGTTGAGAAGCAGCCGCCAGTCTCTCAGGCAGTTCACCTACCGAATTGAGATAAAAGGAGCAGTGTTCAGGCAGACGCTTGAGTAGGCAGTGTAGTGCTCTAGTGACCCTCCGTTGTGCAAGTGCAGCAGGATCCGCTGGTGCTGGCGCGATCGACTGCCATCGTCCCAAGTCCTTGTGCTTCGGGATCACATAAGCAGCTCCCAAACGTCCGTCAGGTTTCCATCCACCAATCTTCTCCAGCGCCTTATTAAAAAAGTCCGCTTTGCAGATGCTCAGCAGCGATGCTTCTGTCTCCACCATCCCAGCGCATTCGTAGTTCGTGTTCCAGGCGAACGTCTTCCCGAACGCATGCCTATATAATACTGGACAGATAACTGCCGTGTCTCCCTGGTTGCGATCTATAGGCACCAGGACAAACCCATCGAAATGCGATGCCCAGTTCTTCATCTCCTCGTCTGTCCAGGCTCCTTCACCTGGTTCCCGATCTTCCCAAAACGATGTGAAGTCCACCTGCATCGCTCCAGAGCCCTGAACATGCTTCAGGGCCTCCAAAATAGCATTAACAATGGTCGGAATCCGGCAAGCCTTCACCGGCCTAGTGATATTCTTCGAATTTGCCACGAACTGCGGAATCTCGATCTTCGAGAAACGAGTCAAGACGTGCCCCTCGAGTTTGGGCAGAGTCGAGCCTTTGCAAGGGCAGCACTGCTGCTCCTCATTCGCATAGGCCTTCTGATTGTGTAGTAGCTCAYCGACGTTCCTGTTCCTGATCCAAATGATACGAACTCTCGTCATGAGAAACTTGGCTACCATGTGGTCCGACACCCTGTCCTTGATTAGTCCCTCTGTAGCTTCTCGTATCGCCGATTTCCTCAAACGCAAATCGTACGGCAATTTGATGTTGATCCTCCTCCTCACGCTAAATCCCAGCCTACGTGCGATGGCACGATCAATACTAGTTCGTAGTCTGAATCTTGTTTGTTTTTCAGCAAACAGCCCGGCTGTCCTATACAGCCCAATCAGTCTGCTGGTCGAAAGATTCGCCAGCTGGCTTGCCGGTCTAGGCTTCCGTAGAAGCCCAATCAGCCAAGTCTTGTTCTTCTCCGTGGTTATATTTGTCCTAACAATCCTCATAAACCTCACCTGCCCGCCTTTCTCCAGTAGCTTCTTCACTCCCCGCAACGTAGACCTCCTCTCGTCAATCTCCAAAATCGTGCTACCATACTTCCTCACTATGTTCCTCCAGCGATCCGTCCATACCACTCCCTCAGAGAACGACACATCCCAACTTCCTTTTCCTTCGCGCTCCTTCAACCATAGCAGCAGCGAGGTATACGTAGAGCTCTGATACTGGAAGGTAACTAACTTTTGGAMCCGAACAGCCCCTGTTCTCCCAATCCTTTCCCGCCTCCCCTTCCTCCTCCTTCTCTTAGTCCGCTTCCCTCCCTTCCCGATCTCACGAGAGTTCAGGCAAGGGCACAGCTCAGCAATCAGAAAGCTTTCAAACGCATAATCGTCATCCTTTGCAGAGTGCTTCAGTGGAATCATAGTATACTTGTCGATGCCAAATTTTCAGAGCCACCTAAATAGATGCGGCGCCAGTCCCAAAGCCTCGCTTTGTGCATTACGACAGTGCTCCCTCCACCTCTGGATCATAGGTCGTACTGTACAACCCACGTACGACTTCCTAGTCCAAGGGCTCACGACGGCATACACACCCCCCGTCTTCAAATCAAGCAGTTTCACCACTTCTTCAGTACGCAAAATAAACTTCTCCAGCCACGAATTTGCCCACTCGCGGCGAGCAGCAACGTCGTCACCGAGATCACACACTCCACTCTCCTGGCTACATCACCCGTAATGTTCAGCCCCCTCAACGTCGAGCGTTCATTAGGCCAGTAGTTAAGTCTGTCCCACAACTCTCTGTTGGTAGGGGCTATTGACCGTCAGTTTGAATCCGAGTCTTCAGCAGGTTGTGCAGGTGTCGACTTGAGAATAACCCTCGCGGGTTTCGGTGCAGTCGTTTCTACCGGTCCTTTCCCTTTCGCGACTCCCGGCTTTGGTGTCCCTATCCCCGTTGTCTTTTTTGCTCCTACAACCGTACCTCTCCCTTCTTCAAAGCAATTGTACGCCATATCCACTTGGTGTCGAGCCAGTATCTCCACGGCGTCAAGCTTCCCGGTATACTTGATGCCCTTGCGTTCGCATAGCTTCTTCAATGTGTTTGCCTTCTTCGTTGAATAGATCCGATGTGCGGATATGCAATACTCGATTAACCCCTTTTGTGAGCATTCCGCGGCCAATCCTTTATATCCCCCTGATAGTGGCGTCTTAGGCTCCGTCCCTCCCTCCTTCCGATCCTCACCTGCTTCAGCCTTCTTCGAAGCCTCTTCCCTCCTATGCTTCGAACACTCCCCACGCTCGTGTGCTCTTGGTGGAGTTTCCGTCGGAGCCTCCCTCAATTTTCCCTTTTTCGACCTCGATAGTTCACCCGTCCTCCTTTTCCCTTTTCTTACCTGCTCACGTCTCCTGTGTCCTTCGTCGTGAGAGCTAGTGGAAGATGACCGAAGATCGGAAGTATCGGAGTCAACAGTTTCTGAATTCGAATCATCACTTGTCTCCGAGTACGCGATCTTTCTCGCCGTCCTACCAAACTTCTTCCCTTTCTTGCGCTGTCGTCCCCTGGTTGCACCTCTATCACCACGCTTCATCTTCTTCACCGCTTTCTTTGCCTCACACTCCTTCTTCCTCCATTCCTCCACAAGTTCTGCCCGCAACTGTAGTTTAAATTCTTCGGCCTTTCTAGCAAAGTCGGCATTTCTCCTTGCATCGTCCTCCTCCCTTGCTTTTCGCTCCTCCTCTAGGCGTTTCTTCTCCTCCAACTCCTGCCTCTCCTTCCTCGCCCATCTATGTTGTTCTTTGATTTCTTCTAATTCCGGATCTACATTATTCCACGCGTAACCCCGACTGTTACGTCTCGCCGAACAATCCCTAGCAAAATGCTCCGTTTTACCGCAGTTGAAGCAAACACTATTACCACCTCCGAAACCCCCTCCGCCTCCTGCGTACCCATTACCAGCTCCATTGTACCCGCCAGAGCTCCCCCCGAACCCACTTGCGTTACCGACCGAATGACCACCAGCGCCCCCTGTCGGGCCATTTGTAAGATACACTGTCAGCCCGACTAGCCGAAGGCACTATTACCTACGATATCACTATGATCCTACAGCAAGCTTCGCCCACTCACTAGCTCCAGCCCARCTGCTCGCGCGGCTACGCCCTCACGTTCGCTACACCCGCCTTGGAAGAGCACGGGACGTCTATGTCGGCGGCCTGTGGCAAAAGGAGATCAGCGAAGATCCGTGCTTTCTCTCCACCATGATTTAGCTCGAATGGTGTGACGCAGATCGCCGGGTGCACCGAAGTGTTATAGGCGAACTCGATGTCGGGAAGCCGGTCAACCCAATCTTTTTGGTCGG